TAGTCTACCACTTCCGGTTTCGGAGTTATGACCCCCGAGCGAAGCCGGGTATCCTGCTAGTACCTAATAATATAATGAATAACTATAGTTCAATCCCTCCACCGACCCGGGGAAGGCGTTGATAACAAAATTGTACGTGTAGGTGTATTTATTTGAAAGACTATCGGAATTCATTTCAAATGTATAACGTAGCCTATGTTACGTATACATTGTCTAATGAATAACTATATTTCGATCTTTCAAGAGATTTTATAATATACACGCCCATACACATTATTGTTATAGGTTTCCCCGCTATAGTTATTATCATTCACCAGAATTCACTTGAAAATATCAGAATTCCGTTTGAAAATTCCCCGATTTATCTCACGAGTATTTTCTTATCACAGGATTTCAGTTGGAAACACCGGAATTCACTTCGAAAACTCTCAATTTCTCCCACAAGGCCAATTTATTTTACATGTATAATACATAACAAAAAGAATAACTATTTCGATCTAACGACAGATCTCATCTGGCGGTGATAACAAAATTGTATATGAAACTATATATATTTTACAAAATGTTTCACTTAATGTTTTTACCGGATTATAGTCTAGCAATTGCCAATGGTACTTCATATTCCTGAAGCAATGGCCCAAGATATCCCTCTCTGGTCATTGCTGGGGTTGGCTTCTGATTTGAGGGTGTGTGTCTATTCTTCCCGTTCAATCAAATCTGTCCCAAAAACAGCAACATAACAGCCATTCGTTTAATCTGGGGTCTTCCCTAAAACTTTGGACAGTGATTTAAGGTATTAAAAACGGTGGTTAATTGGGCATAATAATATTAAATCGCGGGTCATGATGCAACGTTATAGTATATACATTTGGTCCAATTTGAAGCTCTGTTTAAAGCGTAATAGTTAGCTATTGGTTGTACCAAAATAACAGGACAAGCAGTTAAAGAGAATAGAGGAATGTTGTCGAAAAAAGTTAAACTTCAGCTCAGTCAAATTTTCACATTCACAATGAAACCAATCTAATTAAAACACACAGATCCTATTTCGTTTCGTCTTTTATAGTTCAAAATTTCGTTTTGCTTGTCTTAACAACACTAGGATCTGGAAGAGTTATTATAACAGGCGTTCTAGTTGTGGGGAATTAGCCAATGAAACGGTCTGTTACGGAGATTTCTTGACGTGTTCAGCACGGAACTGTGAGTCAACCCCTAGAAACGTCAACGCTGATTAATAAATCAATGTCTGACGTCATAGGGTCAAAAGCCCCTCTATGACCCATGACGCGACCTCCCTGTACAATTGGTCAGATCTTCATGTAGTCAACAAACAGGTTGAGCATAAATCTCAACTTCGTATCTACTGCAGATTAATTATTAAAATACCTACTGCAGGCCTACATGTCAACATCACCAGGTGCTGATATTAGGAATGATCTGTGTGGTTCAAGCAGAAATAGTGAAATCAAGGGTTGTTATCAGGGCCGTATCTATAGCGGGGGTGCAGGGGGTACATTGCGCCCCCAGAAAAATAAGGCGCCCCCACCCCATCCAAAAAAACAAAAATTATTTGACAATCTTTCAATTATAAAATAATACACTTGATTGTGATCACACAGTGAAACTCTTAAGGCACTGATCAGTCGAGTGGTTTTAAGGGCGCCCACACCCCAATGGGTTCGTTTGCCCTGATCCAAACATTCTTATATCACATACGTGGAAGCTATAGCGCCCCACCACTCTGCTGCTCCCCCACTTTTAAAATCATACATACGGCCCTGGTTGTTATGTGTTTTGTGTCTAACTAGTGGTACGTGACAACTCTCAAATAACAATCTGTTTCTCGCAATCTTAACTAAAGATAAAATTCAATTTTAGTAGATACTACAATTTTGATTGACCACGCACTAAAATCAATCTAATATTATCCAATCAAATTACTAAAATTTGGATTTTATCTTAGTTAAAATTTCGTGAAACAGGCCCCGGAATTGCTACAATGGATTATCTATGAAAACATTCAAACCATGAATAATGAGACTTTATTGGATTGGTTTTATTATAACGGAGTTAATTATTGAATAAACTTATTGGTTGTCTAAGGGTAGCTCATCTACACTGAGAACGTTTTGCTCCTTTTCAAGAAATTGTTGGTTTGGCACTTTACATGTAATACTGCTGAGTTCTAATCATACATGTACATGTCCATCGCAAGATGTATTAATGATCGAGTACTTGATTTCTTTTTATGTGATTTGTTTTTTCATTTCTTTAATTTCTTACGATTGTCTTGAGGGCGAATCCCGACTTTTTTTTAAAGTGAATTCTGCCGTGTTTATTGGTGTTTTTAAGTATTTTACTATTAATGCAAAATACAATTGAAAAGGAAGGTCTTGGGGGCGAATTCCGATATTTTCGAAGTGAATTCCGGTGTTTATATATTATGTTTTTAAAGTGACTTTCAATGATTTGGTCTTTTGTTTAAGTAATTTATTATTAATGCAAACTATTAGTAAATACAAAGGTCTGGAAGGCAATTCCGATATTTTCAAGGTGAATTCCGGTGATTCTGGGTGTTTTTAAGTAATTTATTATTAATATTAATGCAAAACAAAAGTAAATAGGAAGGTCTTGTGGATGAATTCTAATATTTGCAAAGTGAATTCCGTGTTCACAAGTGAATTCCGTGTTCACAAGTGAATTCCGGTGTTTATAACTACCCGCAAAAACGTTACGATTTTAAGTTAAAAATGCCAATCAAATATAATCAAATATAGATATAAATTATCATTATACCAGTTGACATAATGGTGGATTTTGGAAAATCGTGTTATTGGGCGTGTCCGCGTGCCCGTTAAATTATACAACTAAATATATATAGTTGCATCAAAATCTTTCGTGTGATTTCTGTACCAGAATTTATACCAAATAAACTATATCTCGATAACTGTCAGTTATTGGAATGTATAAATGTGATTTATTTATGTTTATTTATATACACAAACTTGTCTAAATAACTCTCTTGTCGCGTGTGTGTTCGGCCTACAGGTAAGCAGCTTTACTTCAAATGTCAAAACAAAAATTATCAATCTTATAATAAGACAAGTGGGTCAAATCAAGATACTCTTACAATGTGAATGTATAACTCATCATATGCCAGCTCAGTGTATATTGACATAAGATCTAGGAATTCTTCAGGTGATTATGTAGCTTATGCAATGTCTTGAAGGCCCGGGAAAATATTTGCATACCCGGCTAAGAGCGACAAGTAAATAAACTTAATACTTTGTATCTGATTATAAGTTTATACGCTTCGTTTAAAATCTTTGTGACAAAATTTATAAAACCAAATGTCGTTATTGAAGGATCAGTATAGTTTGTTGTTTTTTGTTTTTCTTTTGTTTGCATGGGGTTTTTTTTTTGGGGGGGGGGAGGAACAGAGCGGGGGGGGGGGATAAATAATAATCCGCGAAAAATATTAGAATTAAAAAGTATCTAAAATTCTATAATATAAATCCGCGATAAATAACTAACTTATAAGAATTAAAAAGTATCGAAAATCCATTCCCATAAACCGCGACCAACACTAATCCGACTTTAATTGTTATTTCGTCTAAGGCGATAGGTTAGTATTGATGATTTTATATCGAACGTATAGTTTTTGTTATTGTGTAGCAGAAGACTTATCCCCATTCAATAGTAAAACTAACAAGAAATATGATTGCAAATGGGTCGATATATAGACTACCTGCGATGGTTAATCATCTTAATCTTCACAATGGCATGTTATTACAACATAGGTCAGATGGATGTCGTAATATTTTGACGGCGCGAAGATGATGGTAACTATAATAAACATAGGCCTACTTTAAACATGCATTTTGCAAGAGCAAAATCTGCTTATTACAAGTCTTTCTTTAGGCCTGAAATGTTATCTAAATTATCAATTAGACATTAATTAACTTATCCAGACCATAATAAACTCTCGATGTCAAGGCTAACCTTCGATGTTGGCTGGATTAGATTCCTATATGCCGCTAACGGCCGTTGATAATTAAATCAGAAAGAGTGGATAATCGAGACTATGCTGTTTATATTAATGATTTTAGTAATGATGACCGAAACTATGCAAAAATTTCACCCGCTTCTTTCTCGGCTCATAGTGGATCAATTTGACTGAAATTTTCAGCAAATTACCTTTACACTATCTAGTTTTTAACTATTATAGCGAGAACTGCCATCTCTTTATCTTATCTCCCATAATGTATCTTTAATTTAAAAGTTAGCTAATTTGCGAATTATAATAATCGATGTATCGTGTACTGCAGGGTGCATATTGTACTGTCAAAACTCTAAAATCGCTGCTGAATTTTGTTGACCTATAGGGCTTGTTGGTTGTTTTGTTGTTGTTGTTGTTTTTGGCCTTCCCTTTAAAATTGAACATAATACAATTGACATCAAATACGTAAGTTCTATAAGAAGTTAGACAATATTTCACCTCTGGCAAAATGAGCACAAATTGTGCAAATTCAGCCCAGGAATGATGCAGCTTTGTTTTGGATTGGATTGGATTCATATTCGAGAGAACTTTTATTAATTTAGATGGAATGTCAATATAAGCTTTGATAAATGAATACCATTTGATTTGTAGTTGAATGGCAAGAGTTCAAGTGCTTTTTATAATGCAGGTGCTATAGACAATAATTTTACTAATTATTGGGGATATATAATTAATTTTATCTAGATTGAATCAATCATAAATCCTTAATAATTCTGTCTCATCAATTCATGTTCATTGTATTGACTTCTCTAATAGAAACACGAGCTCGTGTATTGCGTAGTCATCTTCTACTATTTATACATTGGCATGGAACCGTCTGATAGAAGTCTGTGGTCATTATAACAGTCTGCAGGCAGACTACACCTGACTGCCGCCATTTTAGCCAAGTCACATGATCAATGCTACCTTCCCTCGTCTACAAACTCCGTTATACCATTTACAATCGGCTGTTCAGCTGAACGTGTAGAGTAGAAGCCAATTCATCTACTTATATTTACATACACGCCACAGCTTCGATTAGAGGCGTTCGTTTTTATAGTTCAGTACATCAGATCGCAAAGCTAGACGAGATATGTATTTCATGTAATAGTATAGTCAAAACTAAAGCTTGCTAAACGTCGAAATAAGTCACTGGATGGACTGTTATAATAATATATTGTTATATTAGTGCTATATAACCCATTGGAATACACTGCAGTAAGGTAACTGGTAATATACACTATATCGACAGAAAGTACAGTATACACAACACAGTGTTAACTTGAATGAGGTAAAGAAGGGAGAAAATGACTTCTGTTTAAAGTAGAAACTATAGTGTGTTGTTATATACTTGTACACAAGATGTTATTTGGATGGAATAAGGCAATTGGTATTTGAAGTATGGCTGGAGCTAAACCAGGAGTTCATGTAGTACAGCTAAAACCTGTAGTGGTACCTGATTCCTTACAACATGGAAATAAATTTGTTAAATGGGATGACGTAAGTACAAATATAATCTTATTCTGTAGTTTGTAAAACTTGGAAGTTTGTAGTTAGTATGAACTTCTCCAATGAAATTAGACCCACTCAGGAATTTTGGCACCTTTGGTTGTGCCAAAGTTTTTATGACTAGACTTTTTACCATAATATTTGTGGATCAAAAGTTAACTTTCCTTTTGCAATAAGTGGCTCATAATTGCATAGATATCATACCTGAAATTCTTGGCATAATTTCATAGGATACTATTTGACTATAAGGGTCTGTGTGGCTGCAGTAGGCGTGTTGCAGTAATATAAACTATAAACCAACTTTATTCTTGACTTTCAGCTGAAACTATATACATATATATATATATATCTCATCATATCGAGTACAGGTACCTTGAACAGTCACAATCAATTATCTTGTAAGGAAGGCTCACAAGCAATGCATTTATAAGCAAGTACCAAAAGGTCATGTCACAGACCTGACTACATGTAATTCCAAATCATACAATTTCAAAAATAATATTATACTGTACACACTACATGGATTACAAAATGTAATTGTTTTTCCTGTGAAACTACATATCGAACAATTATTTCTCAGAAGAGTAAAAATGAACACAAATTATAAATCAATGATATTTATTCCATAATAAGATAAGATAAGATTTTTATTGTATCTAATAAGTTATGTCTCAAATAATTGGTGTATATTATTTCTCAAAAGTGTTAGATGGGAAGTGAGAATAAATACATAATTTGATAATTCAATTCAAGCATAGGCGAAGGAGCAATGTATTTCTGTTTTTCGGGCACAAAGATCAGAGAATGGGGAAACCCTTTATTTGTTTTTCTGCTTAACATATTGTAATTTATATTGTTGTATAATTGTGTAATTTATTAAAAATAAACAACCATCACAGTTTTGTAGAAAATTCGTTTTAGTTAATGATTAATTCATTCTGAAAATTCGGGTGACAAAGAATATTTTCGTTCAAATAGCCTCAGCTCCCCCCCCCCAACTCAATTAAGATTGGCCTCCTGTGCATTCAGAGACCTTATTGCAGATCTATGTACATTCCAATGTCATAATCTGCAACTCGTGAGTCGTATGCAAGATATAGGACAGCCTTTATGACGTATACCCCTATTATTCTATTTCATTTCTTCATACAAAGATGAATAAAGAATATATTTTAATTTAGACAAGTTTTATTTTCACCGACCATAACATATATTTAATAGACTGTCAACTTTCATTTCCATTAACATTATGCACCACACCCTATTATTTGTATGTAAGAAATTCACTATGCTATGGAATTACTATCAACCTCATGTGTATGATTGAACATTTACTTAGCAATGCATTTATATGATTTCTATAAAGTAGGTTAACAGATTAATAGTTGTGCCAGTACATTAATGTCTGAAGTATTGTGTTTCATTATTATGATAAAATATATGTTCAGGGTAGTTTATTTTGTCATTTATGATGTTAGAATTTGTATATTGTTGTACATGTATTTCTCAACTCTTTTTCTGCTAACGTACTTTAAATGAGATACAAAACAAATTTAAAATGATTATTATACATGCATCATAGGTATACTACTTAAAGATGCATTTACATGTAGGAGCAAAAACTGCCTTAAGTTTAGAAGGTCCTTTTTTCTGGCTTCAAATGCTATATAAATTATTATTTAGACATTTATTAACATGACAAGCCCATAATCAACTTTCTACATGTAGATCATCGGATGGCTGATATATTAAGTGGATTAGACACTGTCATATCTTCATTAAGCAATGAAATGGAAACTATATAGACTTCATTTATTATCATAGCAATGGTACTTGACAATTTAGACTACTTGTATTTACACTATTTTTGTCAAAACTTCAAACATTCATAACTTTGCTCTAAATAAAGTAATTTGACTGAAATTTCCAGTATATTCATTTTTCATTATCTGCTTCAAGCTGCAGTATTGTATCCAATCTGATTTTTAAAAAAATACAGATCTATATATATATATATATATATTTTGTTTCATTTTTTTATACTTTCGATGGCCTGCACTACATGATGATCTGACCGGTTTTTGTGAAAGGTCATGTCAGGGGTCATACGAGTCCTATGAAATCAGGCATTGATTAATCAACCAGCGTTAACGTTTCTAGTGGTTTACCCACAGTTCGGAACGTCGCACACCAAGACCTCGTTGTAACAGACCGTTTCATTGCCTAATCTCTCACATCAACCAGAACGCGGCTAATATAACAACTCTTCCAGATCCTAGTGTTGTGAAGACAAGTAAAACAAAATTTTAAAGTATAAAAAACGAAACGAAATAGGATCTGTGTTTTAATCAGGTTGTATTGTATCGATCACAGCCAGCACTTTATCAAAATCTTGCATCGTGCATCTTTAAGGCATTCACTGTATAAACAATTCTGAAGTGCAAGAATCACTAATGGCATCATTTGTTTTACCAGTAAAGGTACACATCAGTTTTGTCCGAGTTTGTTAACTCAAGAGTAAACAATTGATGTAAGCATAAAATTTGAATATATGAGATATATTTCCTTGACAATCATAATCCTAGATACATAATCATCAATTGAAAATATATTTGTTTACCGGTTCCCAAATATTAAAGGTAACTTGCAAGATAATGAAAGGAAAGGAGTATTGCATTCATCAAGGTACATGTAGCAACTCACTGGTTAACACTCTATGATTATTAACTTCTTAATTTATTGTTGGCTTATTAGCAAGTTTTTTTCCTCCCCTGGTCATTACAAATTCTTTTAGATAAAAATAAGTTAAAAGGGTTGAATAGATTATCTATTTGTGCTCGAGGGAACATATATTTAATTAATTAGCTTAATTTGATGATTTTTTTTTAAATGATGATCATCATTAAAGTAAACATGTACTTTAAGAATTGTTATGACAAAAATATTTTGTTGGATCTAAACTGCTAACAATTGATGCTTTTATAAAATTGACAAAAATGAGATCTTAAAGGAGCTACATGTATTTCTGTTATGAAATAAAGAAAACAAATTGATAAAGATGATGTCTGACCATGGATCTTATAATACATATAATATTATAAGGTCCATGACTATATCTTGTTTTCGAATCCCCGGTTGTACGTGACAAGGAGTAGGGTCGCCTGTCCAACCTCGTGGGGTTTTCTCCGGGTCCTCCGGTTTCCTTCCACTGCTAAAGACCCCTACGCGCAAGCGAATTATTGAAATAAAATTGAACCATATGTTAGTCCCGAAATGACCTAGTTTGTGTCGAGTGGACGTTAAACCCCATTTCTCTCTCTCTCTGACTATACCTTGTAGAGTAGGAAACTTTCGCATGGACAGTTGTAAATACTGATAAGTGAAACCATCTGGCCAGGCCAGGATTGAGTCCCAAGCTTTTACAGCATCATTAATCATATTGTAACAATAAATGTATATTATGTCTTTCAGTTATGGTTACAATTTTGTAATACAAATCATAATATACATGTACAAAGTTTTTAAAATATTTAGTAACTGTGCTTTTTAGTAAGTTGACCTTTTCAAGTACTAGTATTTGACCATATTATGATTATAGCAAATTATGACTAGTTACAAACAGATGTTGCATCGTGTAATACAAGTTGCTGGAACATGGTGGTTTAATATTGATCTTACAGTAACAAAACTAAAGCCTGTTTTCCATGTACAACGTCTCTTTATATATCAAAAATATTTTCTGATTTTTACAAAAATCAATAAAATATTACGATTTGTCATTGGACAGTTGCAAGTTTTCTTATTCATGTTAATGGGTTAATAAGATTAATGATACAATTAAGCATGGAATAAACCAGTGATTGTTGTCCCATATAACTGTGTCAGTTTTGTTAAGCATGGAATCTAAGAATAAGTATCATAAATTTGTGTTACTGTGTTTTGCCAGGCCAGGTAACTTGACAATGTATAGGTAAAAAAGAGGGCTTCAAAAGTGCCTGAAATGTTTTCCATAGCAATATAGGGGAGTTGAATGCTCGAATGGTTTAACGCTGTGGTTTAGAGCATAAGGTCTGTCATTGAATCAAGTGGTGTGGTTCCGATTCCCAGCTTGTTCATGGCAAGTAATAGTGTCGCCTGACCAACCTCGTGGGTTCTCTCCAGGTCCTCCCACTGCTAATAAGCATATTATTGAAATAAAATTGAACCATATTTTAGCCCCAAAATGACCTAGCCTGTGTCAAGTGGACGTTAAACCCTATTTCTCGATCTCTCTCCTTTGCTGAATTCCATTTTGTGTACTTTACCTTTCAGTTGTTAACATTGTTTTTACAAAAATCAAATTTGACAAAATGTGATACAACTTTTGAAATCTTGATTGATGTTTAAGATAAACTATTACATGAAATGAGACACATGGGTCAAAAAATCAACACATAACTATTCATAAATTCTTTATTCAAACACCCTTGATTTGATTGTGACCTTACACATTTACCAATCTGATAAAATGGCAAAGATATTTAAGATTTGAAGTAGATTTAAAGATACACGTATCATAATAGTAAAACAAAAAATCAAATTATATGCAGTTCTGATATGTTATTACCATTGAAAGTTGGGGATATAAAAAAGACAATTATGAGGAAAAGTAAGATCAAGACTCAAGTCGGTGACAAATTGTATTTTATTTTTTGTGCCCTATCAGTAAAGGGGTCTGTGATGTGTCATTTAGCTGGATCTGTTCACATGTATTGATTTCTCTAGATTCTTGTCTCCTAGCTACTTTCACTATCATTCAAACACTCCACAAATATAAGGTTACTAAAGACAATTTTTAATTCAAATTTTAAAAACAGGAAGGAAATATTATGTAGTTTAACATGAGATAAATATAAAATGTAGGTTATTTAATTTATATATAAATATACATATTATACATACATGTATATATTATATAATACATTTCATAATTTAAAGATAGGTTCCCAGAA